TGACATTTGAGGTGAGGCCGAGGATCCCTTCGGAGGACCCCTCGGGCCTCCCTTCCCCCGTCCGTCGAGGCTTCCCTGCGATTATCAAGACGCCGTTAGGCACGAGCTTGTCGAAATATTGCGCCTCGTCGCTTCGGAAAAGCCGCGCATCTTACTGCCGCTCCTCTTGCCTCGAAAAGTGTCCAAACGATTCATGGCTAGGCCCCGTTGCCTCTGATGCCAGCGGCTCGATATTTCTACCGGTGCCGATGCGGGGGTGGGAGGGGTGGGGGACCCTCAGCGGCTCGGTCTTTTCGCAAGGAATGACCTCAGGCTAGTGGCCTCCGGTCAGAGTTCTCTCCGGTGCCGAGACGAATGCCCTGACCAGCCTGGCTGTGTTCAGGCAACACCTCAGTGGCTACGCAGGCCGTACCGACCGCCACAACCGCGGCGAAGCAGGTTGCTCAGGCTTTCTGTAGACGTGGACAAAAAAAAACAAAAACAAAACAAAACAAGTCTTGATACTTAACGGTAGATCTGGGGGGGCGTCCTCCGGTCCAATGAGTTTATAGACTCCGTTCTGTCCTGGTAAGGGCAGAAGGTATTGAATGGGTGTACCGTAGAGCAGGGGTGCCCAGTATATCGGCCGCAATCAACTGATGGTTCTGGCAAAGAATGGCAATCTGGAGGGCCGAGAGATGTATTTTAAAAGAGTACATCGACGTATGATAGCGTCTGCACTGAAGACGCTGCAAAAGTGCGTCCCGCACCTCCTCGTCGGGTCTTGACGAAGCTCATCGGTGATTTGCTTTTCGCAAACTCACAAACTCTTGGATCGGTTTTATTTTTCAGTTTCGTTCATGTTCGGAGCTGTTAGTTGCTGTTGCTCATCGCCGCGTGCGCGGCTGCGTGCGTTCACGTACGATCACGGGTCGATCGGACTGGGAAATTGGAAGTTCCAGAAAAAGTTGCAATTTGAGCACATTTTTAGGAACATTCCAAATTTGGGGTTTTCCACGTTCTGAAACTTTTGTAGGGGGCGTCTCCAAAGCCACGCTCGCACTTTGTTTTTGCGCCTTGAAATCGATGAGGCACGTCCAGCCCGCCGTGAACAACAATCCTCTTTGCGGCCCAGCTCGGCTGTGCGAGAGCGGGGGAATGTCGCCTCGACCTCTCCCGCTGAGAAAATGAGCGGAATGGCCCGGCCCAATGACAGACGGGCCGGCTTCGCACCGCTTCCCGTTTGGGAGCCATGGCAACAGTGCGCAACTCCAGGTCAGGGACCAATCAGAGGCTCGGATGACATGGTCATGTCGGTTGGTGCGGGAGTGTTACTCACACCTCTGGTGGAAGGCGTGAGCCAGCGCCATCTGCTTCTTTTCCTTCGAGACGCTTCACTCACTGAACACTGAAAGTCTCCTCCAGGTCGGCCGGGATTTGTTTGCGGCACAGAGCTGACCGATCAAAATTCAGGCTTGCTCTCAAGGAGCGCTTCCATTGTGTGCAAAGCCATTGCGGTGTTGCTTCTCAGTCATGGAGTCGTGGCGTGAGTACTCCGATGGCTTCACAGGGGCGCGAAAAAAACCCCACACAAGACGCAAAGCCACAACTGTGTGTGTCGCGATCTTGCGAAAGATGACGCCGTTGATGGGGTGACTGGCCAACGCCATTTGAAACGGTCCCTGACATTCGACTCGAGCCGTGTGGCGGGTTGCTAATGGGCCGCTCGTGCTAGTGCGGGTTTCCGGGCCAGTGCCCAGCTTAGCACCGATTCTTTCCACCGGCGGTATTGGCTGGAGCTCTCGCTCTAGTGCTTGAAACTCGGAGCTGGTTGGGCCAGACTCTCGAACGAACTGCGTCGAGGGGGGTTCAAAGCATGATGCTCAGGCGGCTGACGCGAGAAGTTCATGAGCAGACCGAATTTCACGTCACCACCGGCAATGTGTGTGTGTGAGATTCATAAATTCATAAATAGAATTGAAATCTAATCAAGAACTCTGCTCTTTTCATTTCTTTAATTCTTTTTCCATGTCTTATTTGCTCAGATGAGTCACTCATTTCATCTCGGTCTCCTATCGTGGAATCGATTAATACACCATTTTTCTCGATTCATCAATGAATAGGGTGAAGAAAAAAAAAAAACCAAAGGTTTGGCCAATTTCAAGTTGACCAAGATCTCTCAACTATTAATCAAGCGTCGCATCACAGTTGTCGCGGCAAATGCTTTTCCTAATTGTGCAAACGCTTTTCCCTGCTTCTGCCTTTGGGCTGACTTCAATCCGTTTGGAGCTTGTTCTTGAAGAAAGGCGGATATGAGGAGCTTGGCGAGCCTGTTGACGACAGATAGCAACCGATGGGGAGGGGGGGAGCGGCAGCTCGTCGGAATTGAAATTATTTATCTGTGCCCCCCCAATTCAGCCACAGACATCAGACAAGGCTTTAAATGTCATCCTCTCTCTTTTGAAATGGAAAGGTATTTTGGAGCGCACGGGCTTGAAGTCACATGCCGCACACCAATTTGCACCCGCACGCGGCGCACAAGGCAGCCAGTTGTCACGTGACAATTGCTGCAGGGCAGGTTCTCATTTGTTTGATTTGAGAGCTGTTTCTATTTGCGTCTATTCACTATTTCTATTTACTTGTGTATATTTTACTTTTTGACTTATGTTGTTTTGCTTGATGTGTCGTATGTTTTTTCTTTTTGTTTCCTGAAACTTTTCGTTAATTTTTAATTTGATTTTACACAGAGAAACTGCACAAGTGATGATTTACACCGAGATTCTGTTTTTTTTTTGAATACACACAGCTCCTGCATTTTTTTTTTTTTTTTACAAAGATCCTTTAAAAAAAAGTACAAAATTTCTTTCGACTCTCGTCAAACATATTTGTGAGAGATCCTGAAAATTTGAGATTCTTCCTTTACAAAAAAAAAAAAAACAATCAAATTATACCAGCAGTCATGTTCTCTTTCCACCTGATGATTCAAGAACATTTAAAAATGAGATTGTTTTTATTCCTTTTTTGTCGGTGTTGCTGCACTTCAGCAAGAAAGCAACATGGTTCCTTTTTCTTGATAACAACCAACAGTGAAATCGTCTTTCAGGGGCCGTGCTGGTCCGAGGCCTTTCTTGTGTTCGTTCTACACCAACCCCCCCCCCCACCACCACCACCACATGTGCAGGAGGCAAGGGAAGGTAGACAGGGCAGTTTTTTTTTTTTTTTTTTTTACGCAGCTAAGCAGAAGTGTCAGCCCGAATCTGCTTTCTCGCCAATGTCCCTCCGCCGCTCCCGCACAATGTTTGTTCTTCCTTCCCCGGGTGGTGGCTCCGTCTCTGATGGAAAAAGCCCTTCGCGTCCCACGGCGCGGCGGTCTGGCAGCAGCCCATCGGCCGCGGCGTCCCGTCAGGTGTCGCATCTTGTCAGGCGGGCAAACAAAAGTCCAGGATGCGTGTGCAGTGGGGAGGATGATGACGATGGCTCTTCATCGCAGGGGGACGAATGGTGGGGGGGTGGCGGGAGTTTAATTAACTTCCGGGATGGCGAACGAGGCCCACGGCGCCCTTCCCGAGCGCGGCCTTTAATTTAGCGCAGCGGAATAAATGGGCGAGCAGATGCCGTCCCAGGGCCGCTCGCCTGTGATTAACCGTGTCATCTCCAAACGAGCAAACGACCACCGCTGAGGGCCTTGTGCTATTTTTAGACACGCCGGATGTGGTTTGTACCTCCACCGATTACGCCTCGACCTTTTGCGTGCATCTGCCGGCGTTTGTCGCGCAATCATTTTTGTCGACAAACACCCTGAATGTCCATCCATTGTCCAAACCGCTTTGCCACAAAGGTTACAAAGCTGTCTTCGGGCAGTCAGCGAAGGACACCCTGAACGGCTCGCCAGCCCATCGCAGGCAACACACATCGATGAACAAGCATTTGCGCTCACCACATCACACCCGGGGACAAATTGGAGTGCTCGGTTCACCTACCGTGCAGAAGTTAATGAACCAGTAGTACCCGGAGAAAAGCCACGCAGGCATGGGCAGAACATGCAAACTCCACACAGGGAGGCCGGGGCCTGGAATCGAATTCTGCACTGTGGGGCGCACGTGTGAATCAGTCGACCGCTGTGCCGCCCTGTAATTTTAGAAGTCAATATTTTGAGAAATCTCGTCAACTTGCAATCACAAACACGACTCACAAAAAGTGAGGGATATTTGGCTCGCGGGTGAAATGTATGGAAAATGTCCAAAGTTGAGGCTACAGTGATCTCATCTGAAAAAGTGCTGAAACATTGAACAGTTGGACGTCTTCAAGGCGTTGAAACGCTTCGAAGGTCACGTGAAGTTGGCCTGTCAAGGAATGAATGCATTTCCTGCTCGTCCTGAAATATCACCCAAAAGCCAAATCTCCCCCGACCCTTTGTGAGTACTCAGTGTGTGTCTGTAAATATCTGTGTGTGCGGGGGGTGGACGTTTTGAAAAATGTATCCAGATAAGCCAAGGTTCTCCTCTCCAATGCGTCAGCAGTTGCAGCCTCTCGTGAATACCACGACAATTGAGTGTCATTTGGAGCCGATTTTTTTTTTTGCCCCCTCGCTGTTGTCACCTTGACCGACCCCCTGCCCCCCCCCTCTGCCATTGGATCCCCCAACCATCGCTTTGCCAGTGAGGCTTCACTTTGCTCCACTCGCTTCCAATCGCTGCGCATCAATCTCACACCTGACTCGACCCTCTTTTGCTTCCCGGACACTCAACGCACAATTTGGCGATTGATGAGCCATTCGTTTGGCTGCCAAGAGCCTGGCCGAGAGGAGGGAGAGTGAGAGGGGGACAAAAAAAAAATGCTCTATTCACGGGACAGCGTCCTCACGTGACAAGTTTGTTGGGTTCGGCGTCAACGCCACTTTGGGTCGTGATGCGTAAACTCAAGCGGGTGTCGAAAAAGGATCGCAGGATGCCTGCTGCGGCACGTCTCTAAGTGGCTTTTTTCTTTTGCGTTTGTCCCTGCCTGCCGTGTTCCCGTCGCAGCTGTTCAAGACCAAAGTGCTGGAGTTGGGCGCAAAGTTGCTCCCGGCGTTCAACACGCCGACGGGGATCCCGCGGGGAGTCATCAACCTGGGGAGGTGAGCGTTTGCCGTCACTTGGATTTCACTTTTTGTTCAAGAGCAGATCCAGAGGGAGCAGCATGCCAAGCAAACGAAGAAAATCTGCTGATCGCTCCTCCCAACCTTAGTTTTGGCCTTGGGGCTAACGAGATATGTTGAGTGACGGCGTGTTTTTGGGTTTTGCTTTTGTTTGGAAAGCACAAACGGGGGATGATTGCGGCAACAAAGTCCTCTCTTTGGAATGAACTCCCGCAAGCCCCCTCACTGCCCATCTTTCACACTCCGTTTTATTCTTTGGCTTGAGACATGAGACTTGATGTTTAGCTTGACACTTTTTTTGCGCTTTCTCTTGCCTTTGTTCGTCATTGATTGTTCGACCTGTTTGAATTCGTTTTGCTCCGTGTCCAGCACCTTGTTTTCAAGTGCTCTTGAAATACACTTGAGTTGAGTTGAACCGCTCATCGGTTCCGAGGCATGAACGTAGCCCGGCGTCGCCGAAAAAAAAAAAATCAATACCGTATTTTCCGCACTAAAAGGCGCACCTAAAAGCCTTCCATTTTCTTTCTCGCCTTGTGTATGGTCATCACGGTAAAATTTGGCCCCCTCCTTGCTCGAGACGTGCTGACAACGCAGAGTTCAAATTGAAGGTGACGGATGACGCAGTCGAACACGGAAATAGAGCAGCGGCAAGAGAGTTAACGAGTCAATCTTATAACTTGCTGTTGGTGAAGCGAACCGTGTCGCTGCTTTCTTCAAGAAGTTTGACTGACATCTGATCGTTCTGTTGGCATTTCCTTGAGCGTAGCTTCATCGAGTGGATGCATTGTCGATTGCGTCTTGTAATGCGCTGCGTCAAATACAAGAAAAATTCATTGAGGGTGCGCCTCATAATCCAGTGCGCCTTTTAGTGTGGAAAATACGCGGCTGCTCAGTCTGTGTGCGTTTTGCGCGGTGTTGCAGCGGCGGCAGTTGGAGCTGGGGCTGGGCGTCGGCCGGGAGCAGCATCCTGGCCGAGTTCGGGACCCTGCACTTGGAGTTTGTCCACCTCAGCGAGCTCTCCGGCGACCCCGTCTACACCGAGAAGGTACGACCCGTTCATCCGAGACCCCGCCGGGTCTTCCGCGTCATTGGACGGGCCGTTCCAGCCGCAGGAGCCGCCGATGCTCCGCGGAGTCAAGAAGAAGATTTGTGCTTTGCGCCCGACGGTCCCATTTCGCTGCGCTGGGTTTGAAAATGAAATTGCTGTGATTCTTTGTGTGGTCCGCGTTGATGGCGGCAACTTTGGAATCTCGAGTGGTTGATGGTTTGTTTCGATGACGTGTGCAGGTGATGAACATCCGCAAGCTGCTGAATAAGATTGAGAAGCCTCAAGGCCTGTACCCCAACTTCCTCAGCCCGGTCAGCGGAAACTGGGTCCAACGTACGTTTACGTCACTCTGCCTGTACCGTCGTCGGCGCACCTTCTAGTTCGGTGGTGGCATCGCAACAAAAACATATACAATCAAGTGTGTGGGTGTGTGTGTGGGTGTGTGTGTGTGTGTGTGTGTGTGTCTCTTTGGAGGCATCTTTTCATGAGTAACACCTGTCCTGGTTTCTGACAATTGCATTTCCTTATCATGCTTGTCCTCACTTGCGTGGTGACATCACAAGTCCAACTCTCCGAATGCGGTCTTCGCAGAACTGCAGGTGTCCCTAATGTGGTGGCCGTTTCCTGCCATTCTTCTCGAGCGTCTCTCTGAGTCCGCATTGAAATTCATCGCGGAATCGGATATTTTGGCGGGGGCGTGCATGCGACTCCCACACGCTGTTCTCCCAGCGCTGCTCGCTGTGTTTGTCCTTGACAAACACACACACGCGCGCGCACACACGCACTCGCACACTCGCTGCTTTTGAGCGAGATAACGCCGACAACTAGCAACAATTAGCCGCTGTATTCATGTGGAATAACTGCTTTTTCACCCCCCCCCCTCGCCAGCGTGATCATTTTCACGCCTTTTCGGCTAAATCGGAAGGGATCCAATTTGCCAAAGTAATTGAATTCATTATCATTTCAATAAGGCAAGAGCGGCAGCAGCTCTGCAGCCGCCGCTTTGATGCCGCACGTTCATAAGCGCAGCATTTGATGGACAGTGTTGAGGCCTCGGCGAGGCGTCGCCTTTACAAACGGAACGTCGCTCCAGTCCGCAAACAACATTTGCGTATGGAGAATTAGCTTGACAAGAAAAGTTTTTACTTTCTTTTTATTTTTTGTATGTGTGTGATGTCACCAAAGGGCGTGACCGTTTTTTTTTTTTGTTTTTTTTTTTGACGTGAAGCGGCTATTTTAGCGTCATTTTGGTCACTTCTGGAGATTCGTTTTTTTGGGTTTTTTTTTATATGTCCGTATGCAGAAGTGACCTCCTTCCTTACTGTTCCTCCCAGATCACGTGTCCATCGGTGGGCTGGGAGACAGTTTCTACGAGTACCTCATCAAGTCGTACCTGATGTCGGACAAGATGGACGAGGACGCCAAGAACATGTACTACAATGCTCTGGAGGTGCTGTGCAATTAAAAAGCCCCCCCACCCGTGTGTGATCGTTTCCCGGCAGCGTGACCAGTCTCGGTTAATAAGCCACTAGCGTGACTGGGGGTCAGATGAAAGGAAGCAAATCCTCCCTTCCATCAGATCAGGCCCCCCCTCATGGGCGGCTTCATCACGCAGGCATATGTCAAGAAGAAAAAAGGCTCCTGAGCGCTGCCTGGCACCTGTTTGCGCACAGGTTATACACGCGGGTATATTGCATTAGGCATGCCAATTGGTTCGCTCCCACTCCCCAGATTTTTTTTTTGCACCCCCCCCATGATGATTTCACTTAGCATTTGGTCATGTCAGTATTTTTTTCCAGACAAAAAAAATACTTTTTTACTTTTTTTTTTTTTTTTTACGATGGTAGTTTTCTTGAGAATAATACAGCTTCTTTTTCATCTCAATTATGATCATTTTGTGCAGTTTTCTAATCACAACACTTTTCTGAAAAATGGGACGTTTTATTGAAAATACGGAAACAATTGATGAATGCACTTTTTCTTCTCTGAAAGATCAAATTTATTTTGATTGATTTTTTGGGAAACATGACTTTTACCTCGAAAACATAAAAAGAAAAAAAAAGTTTAATTTGTTCATAGTCTTCTTCTCTTTCAAAAAAGCTCAACAAAAAGGTGCCTTTTTCACCCCAGACAAAAACTAATACCAAAACGTCAAACTAAATAAATGCAAATACGTGCCACCGTGGGTGCGGATTTTGTCTGGAGTGGTAAGACGAGGACGGTCGGTGGTGTCGATGCCACGAGCTAGCTAAGTGTGCTTGCGTTCTCCGGCAGGCCATCGAAAGCAACCTGGTGCAGAAGTCGCCCGGCGGCCTGACCTACATGGCCGAGTGGCGGGGGGGCATCCTGGACCACAAGATGGGCCACCTGGCCTGCTTCTCCGGGGGCATGATCGGCATCGGCGCCGACGAGGGCGCGCCCGACAAGCGGCGGCACTACCTCGACCTGGCCGCCGAGGTCACCCGCACCTGCCACGAGAGCTACGATCGCTCGGGTAAGACTGAGCTGAGGCAACCCGCGCCGTGCCGCCGTTCACGTCCGCCTGGGAAATTCGGTCTTGTCTTCGACGCAAAAATCGAAACCGAAAACATGCGAGGACCGGCAACTCGGTTTTCCTGAATTGCGGCGATCTCTGCGGTGAATTACAAGACCGGCCGCAAAGTGCGGTCTCACTGCTCGCCTCATTGGACTTTTGCCTTTCCCAGCTGTCTTGGGGCAGGAGGCAGGGGACACCCTGAACTGGTTGCAAGCTCCTCGCAACGCACGCACAGACGAACAGCCATCCGTGCTCACGCTCACACTTAAGGACAATTTTTGAGTGTTTGGCTGTATTTCAAGTCAGCAAAATTTGACGGGGTTTATGGTTAGCGTTAAATGAAATGCTATTTTCTGTGTGAAAGCAAAGCGCCGCTCATTGAAATGGCCGAATGAATTGCGCAAATGCCATTTTTTGTTGTTGTTGTTTCCCCAGCCACCAAACTGGGACCCGAAGCCTTCCGCTTCGACAGCGGCGCCGAAGCCACGGCGACCCGGCTGAGCGACAGATACTACATCCTCAGACCCGAGGTCATCGAGAGCTACATGTACATGTGGAGGCTCACCCATGACCCCAAGTACAGGGAGTGGGGATGGGAGGCCGTGGAGGTAAAAACACACAACAACACACAACACACGCCTGGAAACAAAATGGTTCATGTTGACAATCGAGATGGCCTCCCGACCCTGAGAAAAATAAAAGTTGTCTTTTTTCCCCCCAATAATAAACAAACCGGAGCCCGGACGCGAACCCGGCACCTCTGCGCCCGCCGTGTGGCAAAGTGCCACCCTGTAATATGTATTTTGAGAAATCACGTCAACTTGCAATTCTGTCTCATGGTACTCCGAATAAGGGAAACGTTTTAAGTTGGAATTGATCTACAAAAGAAAATAAGTACTACGACAAGAAATGTACTGTCACCTCATGTGTTTTCAAGACAAAAGTCACAACATCCCCAAAAATGGAGATGTCGGTGCTTGTGGCATTTTCAGGCGCTGGAGCGGCACTGCCGGGTGGAGTCGGGCTTCTCGGGGATCCGCGATGTTTACACCTTGACCGACAGCCACGACAACATGCAGCAGAGCTTCTTCCTCTCGGAGACGCTCAAGTAAGTTGAAAAAAGGTCGGCATATTCCAGTTTGCGGGGGGGGCGTAACCCATAACAGTGAAAATGTCCTTTGTTCTTCATTTTCACCACTTGATGTCATCCATAAGCTTTTTATTGTTCACCACGTACGGGGCAGGACGGTCGAGGGCTATTTTTCGTTGTCGAGGCGGTCCCATTCATTTCAAAGTTGATTTGAGAGAGCAGCGATTGGAGCAGTCACGGGACAAACGAAATGCCTCACTCGAGGTGCCACCATATGAATTGAAATAAGATCTGGTCATCCAGAAAGCTTTTGCTTTCAGGTATCTGTACCTGCTGTTCTCGGACGACGACCTCCTCCCCCCCGAGGACTGGGTGTTCAACACGGAGGCCCACCCGCTGCCCGTGGTGCGAAGGAGCTGCCTGCAGGACCCCTCGGCCGGCGCGCAGGACAAGAGCAAGCTCTCCGCATGACCGCCGCCGTTGCCGTCCGTCTGACCGCGAGGCCCCGAGGGAGGCGTTCGAGTTCCTTTCCGGAAAAGGCCGCGGTGGGGTTTTTTCACGCTCGGATTGTATATTCTGTCTTTTGCATTGATTTTTTTTTTTTT